TCTTGCATTTGCCTGTTAGATCCCATTCTTCTCTCCTACTCAATGTTGTCATTTCAGCAATTCTGCTTTTTTCCCTTTGTCAACTTTTCTCTCCAGAGCATGCAAACATGCATTTATAATTCACATCCAAACAAACCAAAGCAAGAACAAAGGCAGCCTCTTCCACACTCTTGTATCTCCTTAGCAGCCAGATTCCATGATTGAGTTTTCTCTGGTCAGTCTTCTGTCCTCTCCTCTCCTTTGCTCGAATCTGTTCCAGTTGTGGTTTCCTCCCAGCCATCCCATCACAACAGCTCTCTTCAAAACACATCTAAATTCCTGGCTGCTCTTTTTTCATTTACTTTTATGGTTTGTCTCATATTCCCAACAACGCAATGCTAGACTAGCTTGTGTTTTAATTTTTTCCTCATTTTTATTTAGACTAACTCTCATGGAGATCCTAATTCATCTCTTTGAATATCCATAGGCTGACAAAACATAAATTAACATCTGCATTCCAGACACCTCCCCTGAATTCCAGACTCATGCCTTCTGAACAATCTACTTGGATGTCTGATATATGTTGGATGTTGCAGAATTTAATGTTGTATGTATTTATTTTCTTTCCACTAATAAACAATAACAACTACCCTCCCCTTAAAAAACAACAGAAAACCAACCAACAACCAACCAAAGAAGAGATATGTTTCTTCCATAGCTCAGTAATTGGTGCCATTCTCTGGCAGCTGCTCGGCGTACGAGTCCTGAAGTTGTGGCCAGTTCATTTGTGTCTGTCACCTCCCACATTCAATCTATCAGCAGATGCCATTTGTCTGTCCTCAAACTTTTCACCGTTTCTGCTGTGTCTACTACTCACCTCTCAGATGCATCTCGGTTCCGGATTTAACTCTTCACTGGTCTCTCTGGGCTTCTGCCCTGTTCCTATAAACTCTGCCATCAACACTACACACAGAGAGATTCCTTTAAAATGAGTATCAGGGCCGGGTGCAGTGGCTCACGCCTGTAATCCCAGTATTTTGGAAGGCCGAGGCGGGTGGATCACGAGGTCAGGAGTTAGAGACCAGCCTAGATAACGTGGTGAAGCCCCATTTCTACTAAAAAAAAGAAAAGAAAAGAAAAGAAAAAGATTAGCCAGGCATGATGGTGTGCCTGTAATAGTTTAATCCCAGCTACCCTGGAGGCTGAGGCAGGAGAATTGCTTAAACCCAGGAGACAGACGTTGCAGGGAGCCAAGATTGCGCCACTGCACTCCAGCCTGGGCGACAGAGCAAGACTCCATCTTGGGGGTCAAAAAACGCACATTGGATCACGTCAGCTCTGTGCAGGGCTGTCCTATGGCTTCGCTCACTCACAGTAAAAGCAAAAGGCCTGACAAGGCCTGCAAGTCTCCATTCTATGTGCCCATCGGAAACACATACTCCGCCCCTTCTCATCTCTCCTCTGTCACTTTGTTATCGTCCTGCTCTACCTCAGCCGTGCACCTTCTTTGCAGGTCCTTACAAATCTCAAGCTCACTCCCACCTGAGGCTTTTTCATTTGTTGTCCCGTTGTCCCCGCTGCCTAAAACGACCCTCTCCCGCACATCTTGCTTGCTTCTTTTCAGATGACTTTAAACTGCTGTATTATTTGAGACCCCTTCTCTTACCCTCCTTCATAGAGTAACACTGCACTGGCACTGCGGTACTCTACAATCCCCCGCTTTATTTTCTAGAAATTTACTTGTTTCTTGTCCATCTTCCAGGAAGTAGCATGCAAGCTCTGTAAAGTCAGGTACTTTATCTGTTCCCTTCACTAGTCCCCTATGTCTTGAAAAGTGCCTGGTACATAGTAGAAAAGCCACAAATATTAATAAACAAAAAACTCTTTAGTGTTTTTTAATTTAAATATGCAGCTTTGCTGTAATCTTAATAAACCTATGATTGAACAGTCTATCAAAATCTATTCAATTAGCGGTGTTGAGTCTATGTTCATTTTTTTTGGAACTGGTAATTAAATTGTCTTTCAAAGGGCTAATCATTTTCACATTTTAATATCCAAAGGTGACTGGTTATTCTTCAAATACATATTAAAATAGTGTTTACCATCTCAGGTGGACCAATATATTCAAACACATTCAGCTGAATAGAAAAGCACTTTTAATTACATGCTAATATATTATCTTTATTAACTTGATCAATTGACCTTAGAACTTTTCTCATTTATTTCTTTAGAAGTCATATTTAAGGGTCTTCCATGTGCTAAGCGCTGTTCTAACACTGGAAGAAGTTGCCAGAAACAGTGTAAAACATTACTTCCTTGAGGAGTTCAGAGCCTAAGTAAAGAAGGAACTTGTGAATATGACTATATATTACTCTCTGTGATACCTAGAACAGTGGAGGGGGAGGAAATGCTGAAGTGTGAGAAGGTATCTTAGAAATAAAGGAAGGCTTCACTGCCAGGTGCTGCCCAGAAACTGGATTCAAAAAAGGCAGCACCTTTGCTAGCGGAGAGTACGTGGAAGGATGCTTAGAAGGTGGGAACAGCATGTGCAAAGTGCATGGAGTGAGTAGTTTGGTGTGAATGTAGGTCAGGCTGAGAAGGGTGAGGTGTAAAGTAAATTCAAACAGCTGGGAGAAAATAAATGGCATAAACTTAGGGACTGGGTTTGCTTTTTCCTCCCTTAGAATTTAGTATTCACGTAATAAGTAATTGTAAACTAAATCAATAACTGGCAGAGGTTTTCACCTCTGAATACATGTAGAGTGAAGGATATAGTCACATAAAAGATGAATGAGTGTCAAGAAGTTGTGTGAGTTCAAGTCCTTGGGTGGGAGAGGTAAATACAAGAAATAAATTTATGATTTTTATTTTTTAATGGAAAAATAAAATTTAAAGATAACATATAGGAACAAAATTTAAATAAAAAGCAGATTATTTCTTAAATCAAAATTAGAAGTATAAATATTGTAAGAATGAAGACCATAAATCGAAAATGTGTATATTTCAGTGGTGAGACTGATTTTCATATATTGTAGAAAAGCCATTGTCATAGTATACAAGGAAAATAATAGATCTCCCAAAAGAGATCTGGAAAGGGGGTGTGTTTGGTTTTTGTGTAACAAAGCAAAGCCACGCTGTGTGAAACTGACAAATTATGAAAGGGAAGAATCAACTCATACTTAATTGTTGAAGGCGAAATTTGTCACTAGAAATTATTGAAGAAACTATTTTGTTTGTACAATCCCCCAAGTCTAGTTAGATCAGGAGTGTTGCCTGCTGTAACACTCAGTCAAGTCTGCCTTTTTTCATGGTCCTCCATTTTATTCCTTCCAACTCCCAAGACTAATACACATTTGTACATTGCCTTTTTATTTCCTTCTTTCTATATCTTGATCTATCTGTTTATATATTGATCATATCACAATCTATCCCCCAATTTTGTATTTTCTCTTTGTTTTCTCTCATCTGTGATTCCACTCCCAAAGCTCCTCAAATGTATTCCCTTTCTCCACTGCTTGTACCCATGATATCCATCTGAACCCTTATTCTATTCTAGCATCAACCCAAGTCACTGCCTTCCTGCCAAACAGAAGCACAACTTTCCTGTCTGTCACTTGGACTTCAAAGCTCTGTGTTATGCTTATTCTTCACTTTTATTCACCCCATCTAAACGGTTTATTATAACTTGGAGGCTGAGGCGGGAAGATCGCTTGAGTCCAGGAGCTCGAGACAAGTCTGGGCAATATGGTGAAACCCCCATCTCTACAAAAAAAATTAAAAAAAGGGCTGGACATGGTGTCATGTGCCTGTAGTCCCAGCTAGTTAGGTGGCTAATGTGGGAGGATCATCTGAGCCCAGGAGGTCAAGGCTGCAGTGAGCTGTGAATGCACCACTGCACTCCAGCCTGAATGACAGAGTGAAGGCTTGTCTCGAATAAACCAGCAAACAAACAAACAGTGCTAAATTTGCTCACTCTTGCTGCAAACATCTCCCTAATATATGATCTCATTACGTCCAATATTTCACAATTGACCAGTGGGCATGCCCTCTACACAGAAGTCCCCAACCATCCTCCCAGTGTGAATCTGCTCTAACAAGCTGCACCTGATGACATAAAGTTACCCTAGTGAAGTCTAGATTCAATTAACAGCACAGCATTCATAACAAGGCTAACATTTAGTGAACACCTGCTCCACTTGTAGACACCCAACAACACTTGCTCGAGTTGTGTCTTGCTCAAGTTCACACTTTCTAAATGTGAGAGCAGGCCCCTAACCGAGCTTCAGATACCTTTGCAACACAGCCTAAGTGGTGATCACCAAACACATTCAGTGATCCTTGGATGTGGCTCTGACTGTTTTATTCTCTCCCCTATGCATCTATTTCTGTCAAGTCTCATCAGGTTGCTACCTCTTTTGTGTTCTTTCTATGGATCCTAAAACTGAAATTGTGTTCCCTCATTTAGAGTCACATAGAAATTTGCGTTTCTGTAATAAAATTCAGCATGCTCTGTGATGTACTGGGGTTATTTAAATACATACTTTTTGCATTTAAAAAACACTTATCGCAATATTTTGCAGACTTTGAGAGGACAGTATTTGGTTAAAGCATCTGCCCGTCCTGGCCTTCAATATTTGCTCTGCCACTTACTGTATCAATTTCCTTAAATAAATTACTTAACCTCTCTGTGTTTTATTTTTCTCAGTCATGAAATGAAAATGATAATAAGACATAGCTCCTAGGATTGCGTGGCTACAACAAGCGAATACACATATATTTGAAATAGTGCTGGAAACACAGTTAGCCCACAGTACATTGAACTATTCTATTTGAGGTTCATGTCTAGAGTGTAGCATATTGCCCTTCATAGAGGTCATCTCAGTATTTGTTGGATGAGTGTGGGTGAAAACTGAAAAGCAGATTCTCACCATCACTTTCAATGTATCAAAGCAGAATTTGTAACTGCATGTTATATTGAAGAAATACTCTTTTCTGCATTTATTTATTTACTTATTCCACAGGCATCATTTATCTGTTGGAAAATTCAAGATTCCAAGATGAAAGTCACCCTGCCCTCCAGGAGCTTACAGTCTAGCAGGGGATGGGAGATAGACCAGCAATTACAGTGCAGTGTGCTGAGGACTGAGACAACAATAATGGCTACAAGGATCACAACCAGCTGTGCCACTTGCCCTATCGGTTCATCATTTGCAGCTGTACCCAGTGCTTCCAGCTCAGGCCTCTGCATCTGCCAGGTTAGGGGGTTATAATCTTTTTAATTCATGGGACAATGTTAGGTCTGGTAAGATTGTACACTCCCTTCCAAGAATTCTGCTTCAATACGAAGTTTAGAAATAAGTCTGCCAAAAAAAAAAAAGCAGATCTTTCCCTAACACAGAAATCAGAAGTTTAACCTAAGAAAATAGTTATGAGAAATCATAATTCTCTTAATAATGTATATACCACTCTTGAGGCATGCAGTTTACTGATTTAGAACAGGTGCCTGGAACAGACGAGAAGAACTTGTAATGAGAAAGTCTTGATTAAACTCTGAAAGTGTGCCTGGATTTCTTAGACACAAAGAAGGCATCAGGGCACTATTTCTATGTCTGGGGAGAACAAAAGTGGCCTATTTTTCACTAGTGTTCACTGAGTGTTCACTATAGTGCTTAGTAAGTACTAGGTACGTCATACTAAGTCCATCAGTTCCATAAATCTGAACAAATACATTCTCTAAGTTAATACTTGCAATCTCAGCAATATTAAGTGATTATAGTTCTCATTTTTTCAACAGAAAAAAATGAGTTGAGAGGTTTAAAAACAGCTAGCAAATGATGGAACTGGCTTTTAATCACCAGAATGATTCCAATTCTCTGCTCTTAACAGTTGTTCTGACCTGCCTTTTTTGGAAGTGTAAGTTCACAGAGACCCCTCAGCAGGTCGGGGGTGGTGAAGCAGAACAAATCTTCCAGGCCTGGGATGCAGGTGGGCTGGGGAAGCCTTCTCTGCAGAGGTGACTATGACCTTGAGCCCTGAGGATACAGGGGAGTGGGATCTGCTGGAGGTTTTGTTGCGCCTGGTAGTAGAACTGGAGGTGTATACATGCATAGCCTTTTCTGAAAAGTGAAAAATTAATGAAACAGTGAAAACTAATGCAACAGTGAAAAATTAATGAAACAAGGGCTCTTGTGGATGAGGCACATTGATATGAAAACCTATTCATTGCCCATGTGTGTACATGCACAGCCTTTTCTGAAAGTGCCAGTGTTCAGAAGGCAGGGGTGTGTGAGTGTGTGTGTGTGCGCGCGCGCGTACAAGTATGAGTGTGTAGGGTATCTGTGTGTGCACCCAAGATCAGGCAGCATGATGAGTGATGAGGCTAAAGAGACAGTTCAGGGCCACAGACTTAGCTCATTTTTGAGGCAAGAAGTGTGGATCTTATTTTGAATTCTACAGAGAGCCAGTAAAGTAATCGAGAAAGGGAAGGGACATCGTTTATGTGTTAGAAAATTAGCTCTGATTTCTTTGTGCATGATGGGGTAAAACAGACATGCTGTAGGCTTTTCCAGTGTGAAATGTAATTCCTAGTGTTCTTAGTTCTGTAAACTGAAATATTTGTATTTAAAAGTGTTGATTAAGCTTGGCTTCTCAAAACTGAAAACAAAACATATCAAAATCAAACCTGCTTGCACTGCACTAGTTTTTTTAGATGAATAAGAATTGTGTGACTTTCCTGGGGCTGCAATAACAGATGACCACAAACTGGGAGTCTGAAAACAACAAAAGTTTATTCTTCCACGGTTTGGAATCCAAGCGTTGATGAGACTCTGCTCCCACTGAAGACCCTAGAGAAGAATCCTTCTGGCTTTGTCCTCCTTCTGGTGGTTTAATAACCCTTGCTGTGCTTAGGCTAGTAGGTACATTGCTCCAATTTCTGCCTCGGTAGTTACATGGTGTTCTTCCCTTTTTGTGTGTCTGGCTCCACATGGCTTTCCTGAAGGGCTCCAGTCATTGAAGTTAAGGCTCAACCTAATCCAGTATGACCTCATCTCAACTAATTACATCTGCAAAGACTCTGTTTCCAAATAAGATTACATTCTGAGGTTCTGGTGGACATGAATTTTGGTGTAGATATTAACCTACTCCAAATATTAAATCTCGTTCATAAAACCAAGGTGAAAAATATTGAGTCAAATAAATGAATGCTTTAAGTAGACAGTAAAAAGCAAAAATAATCAAATTAATAATAGTCTGGGAATTTTTCATCCTTGGGATATTTCACTCCAAGTTATTGTTGGTGGTGGTGGTGGGTGGAGGAAGGGGATTGTGTGTGTGTGTGTGTGTGCGCGCGCACATTTCCTTTCAAAATCCAAGGATGTTTCTGATTCCAGAGTTGTGGTTTATGGCATAATATGTTGTTGTATGTTGCTATAATTCACAGAGTAGATATTCACAGCCAAATTTTCTCAGGTTTGTGAACACAATTTTTCACAGCTACATTTTATGTCTTTTTCATCATAACCTCATAAAGTGCAGCTGCAATTACCAAGTGAATTTTTATGGAAGGCACATTTGAGTATGCAATGTGTATGTGATCTTATATCATCTTGTCTGGAAAACACAGGAGAAATAGTTGTGCAAAAAGGATATGACCAACACGAGAGTCTAAAACTCTGAAAAAAAAAAAAAGAGCCTCACAGGATAGATGATGAATGTTCAGGAAACTGTAACTGTCAGTTAGGGAGTCGTTTCACTTTTAAGAGGCAACAGTGAAAAATTAATGAGACAAGGGCTCTTGTGAATGAAGCGCATTGGTATGAAAACCTATTCATTGCCCAAGCACTGAGTAACAGATATAATAGGATTTGGGTAGGCTCCGGGGTACAGTGAGGAAGGAAGCGTGTGCTGAGCTGTGGTGTCCAGCCCATTACGACCATCTCTCCAGACTTCTCTAAACAGCAGGTTAACGTTTCTCTTTGAATCCCACGTTTGTTAGTGTCTAGAATTGATGCAAAAGTCCTGCTTGCTTCCCACTCTGCCTTTTAATCACTTTTTCTTCCTGCTTCAAAAGCTCTTCCTCCCTTGAAGCTAGTGTTCTTTGGGTGACACCAGCCATGCAGGGGTTCCCCAGTCTCTGGCTGTCTCCCTTTCTCACTGATTAGCTCTGATTTCCTTGTGAAATCTTTCCTTTCTTTTTGGACACCGCAGCGCGTAGCCAACAGCGTGTCTTTCTGACTGGACTCCTGTCATGTTTCCAGGTGGTTTCATGAGCTGTGTGGATGACACAGTCCATGTCTCAGTCCCTGTATCCTCCAAACTCCTCTTCTCCAGTGACCATAGTCTATTCGTGTGTACACCTCGTCACCCACTACATCTTGCCACTCTCAAATCAACCACCATCAAAATCTAACGTCACCTCCCATCCTTTCAGCTCATGGTTCTCATACTGTTACTTGCACAACACACAAAGAGCTTTATCTAAGATTTATTTATCTTAGTGAAATACTTGAAATGGTTCAGTAAATCATGAAATATCCATTTGGAACATGAAAATCTATTACATGAAATGTGTAGTGATACAAAGGTGTGAAGAGCAACACAATGTTACACTGTAAAATGATAGAAATCAGAATTGTATGCTGATGATGACTAATGAGTTTGCAGAAGAAAATCATGAAAAGGAAGCGTTGCAAAATATTGACAGTGGTTTGTTTTGTTTTTTTTTTTCCTTTTTTTGAGATGAAGTCTTGCTCTGTCACCCAGGCTGGAGTGCAGTAGCACAATCTCGGCTTGTGTTGTATCTGATTTTTGGAGTACTTTATTCTATGTGAATTGGAGTAATTATATAGTAGAATAAATAAAAATATTTGAATTCCACAACTATTTACTTCGGGACTACTATCTCTGTGCTCTCTGCGACTGCTGGAATTATAGACATGACTAAGAGTCACTTTTCTATGAAGCTCTCAGATAGAAAGATGGAAATATTATGTAAGTTAAAATTATTTTATAAGACAAATTCAATTTCTCCTTGTTTTAAAGCGTTAGCTCTGTTTAAGAAAGAGTAACTTTTGGAAGGCTGACATACACACCCACCTGTGTGTGCATGCATGTCATATGTATGCATATATGTATGTATGCATGTCTGTCTGTGTGTATTTTTCTCCATAATCAAAATTTGATTATTTAGTGAATAAAGTGGAATGGCTTAAACTCTCTTTCAAAATGCATGGAAGTGATGTGGAATTGGGTACATGCCTCAAAGCTGAGACTGGCCACCTGATCTGGGCCCAATTTATTTGTGAAGAGCATTCATTGTAAATAGTGCCATTAACAAAGAAAATGCTCAGCAGATGTTTCCTGTTTGTGTAGCTGTTCCCTGACGATTACATGTCCAAATCCATCAAGCATCATACACAGCATCTGTAAGCGGGGGAGTGGGGGCTGGCTTAGATTCTTCCCGGAGCCAGTAGAATCAGTTTTCTCAACTGTGGGGGGAAATTTGGAGGGGGGCTCAGAATGCCTTACCTGTGTTCATTCCATAGGTCAAAAGCAAGCAAAATATTCTCACTTTAGGAACACTTCGTAATGTTTATTGTGTGTTTATATTCATGACCAAATAATAACCAGTCCTTTGAGGGAAGTTCCCTGTATTTTTGAACATTCATGTCAATAAATTGTGTAAGTATGTCTGTTAAGATAGTGATTTGGGGTATGATGTAAATAGTAGCCACAGTAAGAAAGTGAAGACAGACAAAAAGGTATGGAAATGAGAATCTATGAGAAAAAAAATAGAACCAAGAGAAGTCTGAAATTCATAATTTATTCTTTTCTAACCAGAAATATTAGTTACCTAGTTCCAATTAATTTGCATTTATTGTAAATATCTAAGTGTATCCTGGGGGGGGTGTGGTGTGTGTATTGTCCATTCATTTATTCCATTAACATTCATGGAACACCTTCTCTGCAAGGTTCACTTTTTAGCTGCTAAAGAGGCACAGATTAAGGCAAGGCCTGGCTGCTTCTATTTGTTGGGAAGTGAGGAAGCTGGCAGGAGAGAGAGGTCATGCAAATACACCTGCCACACGGCGTCCAGGTGCAATAGAGGACAGCAGTGCGTGCGCGCACACACACTCACATACACAGACACACAATCTAATAAAAAGAAATAAAGGAAAAGAATAATGGTGACTGCTAGATGAACTGCTTAAAGACGTCCTCCCTAGTATGGAGATTCCTTAAAGAACTAAAAGTA